CACCCTCCCAAACATTCTCGCTCGGTCTGTAGACAGATTATAAGCAAATTACGAGTTTTGGGGCAATCTCATAAATTTATGTAATCCTGTTACCTATGACTTCAACTGAGCCTATTGTTCAAAATAGATTCTTCCCTTTCGCAATTTAGCGAAAGGTCATTAAACCGTTGTAAGCAGCTGTGATTCAAAAACAGCGCGTATTTTGCGGAGATTTCAGCTTAGATTTGGTCGCACATAGTGATACATGACTGTCAGTCATCAAAGTCAAAGCGTATTGCACCGATAGCCGTGCGAAAAACAGTTTGCTCTAGTTTCAAGACAATTCGGCGTAGTGTAATTTTCGTGAAATCCTAGGATATCTTGCAGGCTAGTTCATCAATTGACCAATTCCAAATCAGTCGAAACTTAGCTCGGTAAATTGTTTATTTTCGTCGACGCTTTCGAGCATTCTCTCGTATCATTTTATGGCCTTGAACAGAGAAATTCCTCGAGGTTCACAGTAGCGGTACTCAGGGAACACTTTGACATTCCCGAGAACTGCTGGCAAAGAAACTTTACTGTTCTTTGTCCTTGAAAACGCCACGTTTTTCTGCTTGGATTGCTGTTAACACATTAAAAACCTTTCCCTATATAATTGAAAATAATGCCAGCACAGCTCCTTAAAAAAAGCTTGTACTTTTGCTGTTGAAAAAAAGGCTTACTGCGCAAGATTTTGACCACACAAGAGGGATATTGGAGTTGCATAGGTTTCAATAACTTATTTCTTGCTTTTTGCAGAAGAAACAGAATTTTCAAAATGTTTACATTACAAGTCATTTGTTTATCACTGTGAAGCCTACATTAATTGCAAAATAAGGAGAAGACTCTCATTATGTGGAGACTCATCTTTAGAAGTAGTTGAGGGCATCTTTTCATACAGGGAAGTAGACAGTTTATGTTTTCCTCATTTTGCTTTTCCTTAGCCCTGCAACGTCTAAATTTAAGCTGCGAACCGCGCAGCGCCAGAAGCCCAAAAATAATCTTCTTCTAAAGCGGAGGTCACGTCCTTGAACCATTGTACCGGTGCCACAATTCCCTAGGTCTGCCAAACAATTCCAACACACAACATAACTTTCTTCGCTCTTCTTCATGCTCCCACAGCTATGATTCTCTTGGTATTCAGGCCAATACCGACTTAGGACTACTGCATTCTATCACATCGCATTATGCTTACCATTTCCGTAAAAGATAAACCTTTCGTGAAATACTTCATTGATATATCCAATTATCACTTTAATTCAGCATCAAATCATGTGGTACGTGGTTGCCCTCGTCGTGTGGGCAACGAGCACTTCAGCTGATTTCAACTGCAGTGAAGCTCCTGGCAAAGGTTACTTTCTAATATGTTCTTTTATTCTAGCTTTGATAGAATCTTAGACGTATCTTTGTCAGCCAACAGGCTTGCTTGATTCCTATAAATTCTTAATATATTTATATAGTACCATGTAGAAGTTTCAAGATTGACACTTCCAAACCTCAATTTTTAGGCAATCCTTTACAGAGAAATTCTGATTAGCAAAATATTTATTCCTTTCATAATCACTGAATGATAATTTAGACATGCAAACGACATGTCAGATGATTCAAGAATGGGACAAAGATGCTCGAAAGGCCATAACACGACGACAAGCATTCGAAAGCAATATCGGTAAGTGCAAATGGCATAAATTGAGTAAAGAGATCCGAAACCTGTAATA